CACAGGGTGGGAGCTCTGGGAGAGTGGGCAGTGTGGAGGCAGGTTAGGAGCTCTGGGAGAGAGGGCAGTGTGGGAACCCACAGGGTGGGAGCTCTGGGAGAGAGGGCAGTGTGGAGGCAGGGTAGGAGCTCTGGGAGAGAGGGCAGTGTGGAGGCAGGGTGGGAGCTCTGGGAAAGAGGGCAGAGTTGACACTGGATGAAGTGAGGGAACTATGAAGACCAGCTGTCTTTTGTAATGCCATCACAGGATGTTTTCAGTAAACCTGACACAAATCAGGCCTTGACTGGCTAATACACAGCCTTGCCTTTGCCTTACCTGTCGCTAGACTTGTTCCCATTTAGAACCTTTCTCAGCTCATAATGCAAACAGACCGTTTGAAAGCCAATTCCAGATAGAGAGCACTTGCTTTGCCTCAGTACCCACAGCCCCCTAACAATTATTTTGGCTGCTGGACATAGAGGGCATAACTAGAGGTTTTTTAAAGAAACCTGCGTAAATGTGCACACGTGAAAGCTTTGGAAACAAAATCAGACAGGTCTTCAGTTAAAATAAATCAGTGCAAAACAAATCTTCCCATTCGAACATGACTTGCAGAAGTGCTTAGAGCAGCATCACATACCAGAGCAGCTGGCTGTAGGTTTTGGGAGACAGCTACCTGCACGGGGAACTACAGTTCCCTACACTACACTGGTTTTCCAACTGCAGTAACCGATTTAAGAACGGATGACTGGACTACAAAAGCACCGGCAAAGTGACCTTGTTTTCAGGTTGACAAGGTCAGATCCCGAATCTCAAATCTCTGCTCAGACACTCACCTTCCCGAAGCTGCCCTTCCCCAGCACGGCCAGGAAGCTGAAGTCCGAGAGTTTGACCCTGTCCAGGTTGTTGCACGGAAGACTGGTCCTGACGTCTTCCGGGGGGCTGATGACCTTCTTCCCGGGACCGAGCCTGGCTTTCTACAACAACACAGCCAGAGACAGGGAGCGTTACAGGAAGAAAGAGGGGAAGCTCTGTGGCAAGCAACTGAAACAGATGGAGGAAAATAAAAGGACTTCGAGCATTCAAGAACAGATGGCGAAAACAGAAATAAAACTTAAAGATGCATTTGATGTGTCCTGCTTTTCATCCACATACAGAGCTTGGCTGTGGAGGACTGAAGCATGGCGAGTCAGAAGTAGGTGAACTTGTGTGAGTTCATTTTACTTCATGTTTTTCCATGTTTAAGGCTCTACTGCACCTCTAACCCATTCAGCTCCTCAGCCAGCGCTCTCTCCATGCAGAAGCACTGCGATCAGTAAAAGCCTGCCCTTTGCTTGCCCCTAAAATCCCTATTTTGTGTCTATGTGGAAAATGTCTCTTACACACAAGGTGCCAAGGTTTAAAGTTCTCACAAAGGTCACACAAACCCCTGAGCTCCCACAAGCCAGGTCAGGCTGCAATCAGAGCTCCATCAACAGGAACTGTGCGAGACAAGAGTATTTGTCACAGGAGCCGATAAACAGCAACAACTCCATATTGGTTCCTACTCAACACACCACAATAGTAACATTGCAACCCAGCAAATAAAAAAGATGAGCTAAATGGTCTACTCTTGCTCTCACAGTTACCTGTCTTATGTAGGTTTCATACGACAGAATGGCGTCTTCAATCCTTGATCTGGTTTTCATTCCAGTCCAGCACTTAACGACCTACGTGCTTGTTACTGGCTTAACTGGACCGATTTAATGAGTTCTCTCCAAACCTTCAGGTCTCCACCACATCCACCCCCTGAAAAAACAAACCCGCAACACCACCACAGGTGACACTTACCATGGTAAGGTGCTCACTCAGTGATCTACTGCAGTTTTCACCACTCACAACTGCGCCCAGCGCTGGCTGATGTCTACAGTACATCTACACACACCGCCTTGTCAGGTACAGGGACACGATCAAGGAGAGGGGGGTACCGGGATCTCGCCAGTTGATCTCCTTCAGATACGGAGGGGCAGCAGTGCTGGCCACTGCTTCCCTCAGCAGAGCTGCTGGACTGCGGACGGGCACTCTGCGCACATGCTTCAGAGCTGGTGTCACAATTTTGGGTGCCGTGAGATCGCAGAGCTTTCGCGCCCCGGATTTCCTGCCCGCTGCAGACACACTCGGGACAAACTCTTCCCGGGCTTAAGGGTAGACGTCGGTTTCATCGCCTCCCCCAGCACCTTTGACGAAACACTGTCGCACCTTCCTTCCCCCGTGACCCCTGCAGGCCAGAGGTGCTCTCAGAAGTCATCACTGGGGTATTTCTACAGGCCCACAGTGCTGCCCGGCTCTCTCAGGCACAGTCTCCCTGGTTACGAATTATTTTAATAAAAATGTGACCCACTGCCAGGCCAGGCCCCACGCATGGGAAGCAGGGCTTCAGCATGACTGACGCCTGGACACACAGCTGGAAACGCCAGACTCCCGACACATGTCCTCCACAGTACCTCTCATTGCATTAGAGAAGGTGAAAAAATCCAGGCTCAGCTAAGCTGTAACTCTTCACAATAATGATTTTTGGAATAAATAGCATCTTGTGTTTTATTTCAGGGCTCAGTACCTTCTGCTGCTTTAGCTAGTGAATACATTACTTTTGCAGTGAGGGTTAGCTTATATTTACACTTCTAAATGTGTTAATTAATCTCCATACTGCATAACCATATGACATGTTTTCCACAACTATGGTTTAAACTGCTTTTTGACAGTTTTCTACCACGTGAGGATTATTTATGCTTTCTAGAACAATTAATCTTTTAGGTGAATTTGTAATCACTATTCACAACCCTTAAGGACATTATGTGAATTTCACAGACTTACAAGTTGATGAAAGACATCATCAGCATTCAGACAAAATCTTTTGCCAGTCGTTATAATTTCTGCCTCCCCTAAATTAATACTTTTGTAAAAACCAAAATTGCCATTAATAAGATATAAAATTAAAATCCTTTAGTTTCCTGATTCTGCTGTCTCTCGATACGTAAGTGCAGAGACCTAGTGAGAGGCTCTGGGAGTTGAGTGCTCTTATTCAACAGAAAGATTCTTTCAGGAACAGAACAAAAGTGGACTAACACTGGTCTCCAAGAGCAGTTATGTAAGACTAAATGTATTGTGCAGCACAGAAGAGTTCTGTCTTTATCATTCCAAGAGACTGAGCTGCTTGTTATTCGGGGGGTAATTTTCCTCTTCAATCTTCTGTCACTGCCAAAGAATGTCTGGTCTGTGCTTCAGAACTATGCAGGGAATGAATCCCCAAAACATTCTCTTTTTAATCCGGATATAAAGACACCATAACCTGTGTCTTCAAATTAGGAAAATAAAATATCTCACTGATTAACTGGCCAGTCCAAGATCTCCAGGGTCTGGGCACAGTGATATCCCATCATTCTCCCTCACTGCTGAAGATACTCCGCAGCCAAAACGCTGTGTTTTTTTCTTCCTTCTTTCAAATCGTTCCATTAAAATTAAAATTCAGCACTTGCTCCTAAAATCCCAGGACAGAAGGCAGTACGCAGTGCTCTATCAAACTGAGCAAGACTCTGTCTTGGCCAGAAAGTGTTTTGCTAATCAGCAGTGAAGATTAAGACTTCAGGACAGGATTGACCCCAGATGAGGGTCGTGGCACTGAGCACTGCTAGAGCAACGGACAGGGTACCTGCCCTCCAATGGGAAGGCAGAGTGCTCAAATCCTGCATGTGTTACAACTTACAAACACGGAGCACTGCTAAACTGAGCTGTAAAGTTTCACTTGCGTCTTGATCTTTAATTAGTTTTACATTTCTAATTATTAACTGTTTATCTGTGTGGGCATGTTTTCTTCATGCAAAATTGTGGAGAATTTAATTATACCGAATCTGAGGAGACATGTCTAGGAACATGGGAGTTCTTTTTCAGCTGCGTCGCCAGAGATCAGAGAAACCGATACATTTCACTGAGGGAGGTTCATCTCTGACTCCACTGGAAACGGACTGTCCACAGCTATGAAAACTGAATGTCAGGGGATTTTTTTAAATGCTCGACTGAACAAAAGATGAGCACAGCAGACAAGAAGAGCTGCACATCACCAGAGCCTTCACACGCAGCAGCTGTCAGAACTTTTAAGTCAAACGCACCCGACCGGAAGCAAAGCTCCAACAGCTCATGCTGGGGTTCCTGTCTTGAGAAAATATTGCGCAAATTTGCAGCCAGCAAAATAAGATCCAGCACAATCCTGAGCATGACAAAATCGAACTTTCTAGAAATGATGTATACAGTAGGTTAGTCTTCAAACTATCCCTGTGCACAGTTTTTGCAAATGCAACTCCGGGGCTGGTTAATACCTGCAAGCCACACTGCAGGAAGGGGCACTCTGGGAAGAAAACCACACACAAACTTATCTTACTTCCTCCATGATCTTAATTGTGTCCTCCAGGTTGTGATCCTGAAATACCAGTGGAAGATTCCAGTTTACTCTTCCCACTCCCTCACTTATACAGCCCCCCCACCCCCACAGACACACACATCTATCACTTCTTGTTTTCCATTTATCTGTGCAAGGAGATAACAGAAATGTTATCAAAACAGAAATGTTTCTGGAATGACACTAACACATTTAAATCACAGCAAAGCTCAACATCATTCTGCAATTTAGTCGATTCAATCAATTCCTTTTTTTAAAAAAAAAGCACTCTGATCAACTGAGATCCAAATTAGAGCCGCACCCTAATCTGGGCGATCACATGACATAAGTCTGAGTCCCCACTTTTCCTTTGACCTTTGGAAGTTCAGAAATGCTGCGGCCAAGTCTGAATCCTATCAGGCATAAGAACACGGTACGATTGCAGACGAGAGGCCATTCTGGCTCTCTGGCCTGCTTGGTAGCGAGATGGTAATTGATCCCAGGAAGTCATCCAGCCATTTATCAAAAGAAACCAGGGGATCCGCATCAACGGCACGGATGGGTAGCCTCTTCCATGCTCCCACAACCCTCCAGGAACAATAGGAGATCCTTTACTCAGCGTTAAACGCGCTTGCACTTACAGGAGTCGCCACTCAGCCTCACTGTTGACTCAGTGACAGAAGTCCCCTGGGTTGCCTTGTCAGGGCCTTATGCTCTGTGCATAAGAGCGTGTTTTGCTCTTCTTCTAGCTGGGACTAGACTGTATAGCACCTTGAGGCCTTACGGTTCAGGTGTTATTCTGCAGTCTGTGGCTCGTATCCCTTCCGCTCACGCTTTCAACAACAGCGGCACCGAGAGGCGGTCAGGACGTCACACAGGAGGCAGTGAAGATACTGTCTTATCACTAAAATCAGCTTTCTAATGTCATAAGCCTGGGAGCGTGCACAGGGTGGGCTGATCCTTTTCGTCTTGTAATCAACAGTTTTTTTTTTCTAGCGCCAAAAGAGGCGCTAATTACAGTTTCGAGGCCAAGTCATTAATTAGGCTTTGCTGTGGTGTGACACAATAACGGGGGACGGTGTTAAAAAACTTGGATTGCCAGGACATCTGTCGGAACAGGAAGGGAGTCGCAGGAACGTCTGCGGAGCGTTTACGACACAGGCGCCTCTTCTGACATCCTGTCTCTCTCGCAGCTGCGGAGACGAGACCGTGTCGCTGCTAGACGCCGTGCGAGGAGGACCAGAGACCAGCCACACCGCGGACCTGGCAGGGCAGCGGAGAGCCGCCCTCCCTGCTGACGTCAGACAAGAGGAGAAACAGATACCGAAGGCCTCGGTTTGAGAGCTAAACCTGCAACCTGGCATCCAATCTCCTGCCGATTTCCCACGAGAGCAGCTCGTGCAGCAGGAGACGGCGCTCTTCCGTGTTGCATCCTGAGCCTCGGACAGGATTCGCGTCTGTTTCTCGCAGGGTCAGAGAGCCTGGAAGAAGATTCACCTGCTCAGGTGTATCTGACGCCTAAACTCCTAGCTGCCAGGATGAATCGGCGTTCAACAAGCTAATTTA